ACGTATGTCGCGGGAGTCGCAAAAATCCGCACTATAAGCGGTACCGCGTTATAACCAAAACATCAATTTTTCAGGCCAAAATACATGCCATCAGACAACTTACCTATGTAAAAGAATTTGTTTTATGTTAGATGAAAAATAAACCTTAGTTTGAGGAAAGTCTTTATTTCACCGGACTAGTACACTTCTCTCAAGTGTGTCATGCATTTTGAAAGAAATGAGCGACTTTTGCCTGGCGCAGCCTTTTAACGGCGTCGCGGGTTGCAGACGGAGATTGCGAGCGTTCAGGATTGCTAACCATAATCACTTTTCTCCGGCGATGAAAACGCGTGAAAATTCGCATCCTTTATACGGTACGCTCCAGTAATACCTTCAACTTGAGCACAGGCATGAAATGCTCCAAATAAGAAATCCGGGCGATGTTCGAAAACACAGAAAGCACCACTGTAGTCGAAGTAAACAAACACGACGACACGGGATTTCTGCAGTCTTGAGAGTGCCGCCACGACATCGCCATTCGAGTAGGTGGATCTTCCCTTCTAGTACATGCTGGGTTATCATAACGACACACAACGAAAATTCACAGTCAAGGATAGCACTTTTACGCGGAACGATGAGCCTCCATCACGCAATCTACGTCGACGATCACAACCGACGCCATGTTTGCGGATAGAAGCAGCCGGCCCGCGACCAACATGCAACGCGCGCGAACACTTGTCCTCGACCTGCGATTGGTCTGTCGTTGCGGTTGTTTCCAACCGTCGCAGCGGAGGCGCGGAGGGACGCACGCACGAGAACGACACGTGCATGCGTCCCTCCGTCGCTATGGCAACTGCAGCCTCTCTCTTCGCATCTCCCGGTTTCTTCGAGCAACCTCCTTGCCCCGCGAGTGCCGCTCGAGGCTCGCGCCGTTATCTAGCGCCGCACAGCGAAGCGTGCTCGCTGCACCGGTCAGTCGGCACGGCCGCCGGGCTCTTCCAGAAACCGCACTTTAACCGGTATTTCTCTTCGCGCGCCTGCATTTTAAGCGGTATGCAATTACATGGAGTTCTATGGGAGGCGAACCGGTGGTTTAAAAAAGCCGCGTTATACCCGGTCCTGCACTATAAACGGTTACGTTGTAAGTGGTCTATACTGTATACTTGAACCTGCTCATCTTATACAACTCCGGGCCTGTACAATCACAAAGCGCACAAAGAGGACGGGGCAGATGATATGTGGCTCGTACGCCGTGTCAGTGCTAAAAGCTATCCCTAGTTGGTCAAACAAGGGGGCTAGCGCACGGGCAAGCTGGTGAACGCTCGACATACCTGAGCCCGAGACAGGGAAGGAAAAGGGAGACATAAAAAGAGGGAGATCAAGCAATGTCTCCAAGTATTGAATATACAAACAAAAAAAAACACCTAAGAGCTCATTTGGCATCAACCTACAAAACTTGGTGCTCATCAATAACCTTTCCAAGTAAAATGTGAAACAGCACCAGTGTGTAGTGCACTATACTTGTACGACTTAGGTGCGTGAAAGGGAAGTTCGAGAGTGTCCCTGCAAAACTGCGAATATCTTTCAACAATGGCATCATGCTGGTTACAAAGAGGGGCTCAGAAGACGCAATTTCGTGAAATACAGGCATCTGTAGCATTCGGCCCCTTCTGTCAGTGTTGTGCAACGTCGCCGGAGGGGTGTCCATCCAAAAGGACAACAGCAATCAAACTTTTTTTTTTTTTTTTTTTTTTACTAGAAATTCTTGACTGCCTTGAAGGATTGCCGAGCAACCTTTCCTCCTATTTCTACTACGATGCTCCTAGCACGAGAGACAAAGAAAGGTGTTTCGCTCATACGGAGGCGGCAATGCATAAATCGGCTACGCTCAAGTGCAGCCGTAACAAGGAAAGCACTCTACGCTTCTCATAGTGACACAAACAAGAGACGACAGAAAAAATTGGGGTGCACACCTGACACCGTTCTTTTCCCGCATCTCGAACTCTCGTAGTAGCAGTCTGTTTCACTTAGCGCAAGCAAAGCCAAATCCAGAAGCCCGAGCATGTTGCCCTAAAACGATGCTCGCACTGCACGAGCGCGTGTGCTCGGCAGGGATGCTGAGGGACCAGAGCTTGCTCTTATAATCGACTTATAATCGAAACCAGGGCGTACCGCCGCCACCGAAGCTGAAACAGCCGCGATAGCGGGAATTCCTCCGTTCGCTACGGGTTCAGCCGGTCGTACCCGTAGCATTGTGTTGTTCTATGCGCTCCTTTTACGGGTGCTTTTTTTCACCCGTGCAGACAAGTGTTGCAAACCGCGCGTCAGCTTGGAATGCGCGAAATACACCGAGGTGATGGGTGCGCCGAACGAGGGGCTCTAGCGCAATCAACAGCCGTGCGCTAGAGCCACTAAATGAGCTAACGTTAGGGTGTCGGCACTCCGTTCCCAGATCTGCGACTGGGCGCCACCACCTTGGTGCTTAGCGCAGGCCAGATGCGACTGTCGATCATCACGTTTCAGAAATGTGACTTCCTCAGCTTTACACAGGGTGGTAGGAAGCTCGGGTAATATCGCTTTGCTTTGTCACAAACTGTTCTAACATTTCTGGAGGACAGAAAAACTTTTCCTGCGATTTTAGATAAAGCTTCGGAGAATTGGAAACCTTGATTTTAAGCACCAATATAGCTGAAGTGTCGTTACTCTGAAGCGTAGCTTATGTAATGGCTCTACCGCGCGCCATGTAGCTCGGGAGGGCGGCGACAGTTGATGTAAGAGCCTAGCTGGAAAGGCCTCTGTTGCAGTAGAAACAAATTTTTCGAAAATGACAGATATGTATTGTGAAGTCCAAAGTGAATGTCGGCGAAGAAAAGAATTGGGAATTCCACGAGAGTCTGGGCTGTTCTTACAGTCAAGTTTCATTAGTAGACTGAGGACACCAGAAGCACTAATCTCTAAATCAGATAAAGCTGGATACATACCATCAAAGAAAAAATCCGAATCATTGCCATTATCCCGACTAAATACAGATTTGAAATAATCATTAAAACACTTTGCCATCTTAGTCGGTTCACTTACACATTCACCTGAAATAGTAAAACTGCAATATGTTACGTTTTGCAATAATAGACCTCCAAAATTTGGCAGGATTTGATTTCATAAATTCAGAAAAAGTCACATTAAAATATTTGGTTTTGGCTTTCAACATCTTTTCTTTCAAGGTTGTTTTCAGATATTCAAATGCGGTATCAACAACTGAGTCTGTGTTATTGTTCGTTGAACGACATCTCCTTTTGTAGCGTAAGCTACACTGGTCGAGGTTGAGCAGTTTCGCGTGGCTCCCAAAGAGCCGTGCTGCGCATGCGCGAGGAGCAGTGACGGAACGGGCAGGACTGGTATGGCGCCTAGGTCAGTCCCCGATGCACGCACCGCGCGCATGCACCCGCTCGAGATGATGGCTCGCGCTGTCCGGTTGCTCTGAGCGGCAGCTTGGTTGCTTGATACATAACAACACGGCGCACAGCTGGCCAAACCAACGACGGGCATCTGGCATGCCCCAGCGGAGGACTGAGGATTAATTTACACCGCCTGGGTTATTATAGAGTTGGTCGTGCTTTTGACGTGCAACCGAAAGCTCGGTTACATGGCGCCTCCTCCGCAATAGGAAGAGCGGAGAAGCTTAACTCATCGGATCCCGAAGTAGTCACATAATGCGTATACCGTGTGTGTGTCATTGAAGCAGCAGTAAGCATGATAATCAAGCTAATCCTAGACAACCAGGCAAGCTAAGAATAACCAGCTGAACCTAAGCTTATGCTACGTTACAGGTCCCGTCAAAGTAAAACGGAGCGCCGGATCAGCGACCGAACCAGAGCTCTGGACCGAACTGCATTGCCGCGCTATCTAGCAGCGCCGGCTGGAACTGATAGGCTACAACTGCGCATGCGAACGTGCCTTCCGCTTGGGCCTCCGTTTTCTTCTTCCCACCCACACGTTATCGGTAATTCGAGCGGCGCAACGCTCTTCCTAAAATCGACACCTGATAGCACAAGAGGGGGTGCTCATCGACCAACACTCGCCCCTCTCTCCCACTTGTCTTCAGTGTTACCTCCCCGTGCGAGCCCGAGCCGAACACCTAGCGGTGTTTATCGGAACAGCGTTTGGCAGCTCGAGACGCCGATAATGCGAGGATCAAACAAGAAAGACGGAGGACACCGCGAACGCCGCGAAGGGCACGTGCGCATGCGCAGACGGCACCTATCAGTTGCAGCCGGCGCTGCTAGATAGCGCGGCGATGCAGTTCGCTCGCCGCTCCGGCGCTCCGTTTTACTTTGACGGGACCTGTACGTATATCCTGGCATAGCCAAGCTAAGCCACTGCAATTTTTTGTTTGCCGCATCAACTGCAACACCTCTCGTAATTCAGGGGTGCGCAGGGTTCGTTTTCTTTCTAGTAACAGGTGTAATTTGTTGACGCATTTATCTATAAGGGTGTTAAAATATCAAAGCAACATATTGACATCAGCGTCTACACTTATGACGCAAATATCATCAAAATAAAAACTAAGTTCATCAATTATTGATGCATCGTCAGCTCAGTTGAAATCAAAGAATTTGACAAATTCAGGGCTTGAATGCTTGATACGACTGTTGAGGCGAACTAGGACAGCTTTATTCTCAGAAATTCCCTCGACCACCTCGCAGTCATAACCTACCGTAATAGTATCCTGTTCGATGCCAATTCAACGGACGCTGCCTAAATATAAGGCAAACCGCAATGCGATGGCAATGCGATGGTGACGCGGTTGTTTGCCCATATTTGAATGGCGGCACCAATTAACCGGCCAAGCTTTTCTATTGGCCAAAAGACTGAAGGGATATTCCGTGGCCACGCCTATTTTTTTATAACTCACTCCATATATAAATAATCCTGCCCGTCGTAACCTCCCTTGCCGAACCACGCAATGGCTCGTCTTTACCCTTAAGTCTGCAACAATGAGGTCGAGTTACAAACATTCATACCTTTATATTGAAGTCCAGAGGCTTCAGCGGCGACGACGCCGGGGACGCAGGGGTCGCCGCCAACAAATTCAGAGACGCCCTCGCACTCGAACCGGTCGCCGCACTCTGGCCGCTCGGAGGCAGACTCAGCTCGAGACGAGCCCTGCCCTTTCTCTCGCTCCTTTCCAGCGCGGCACGTCCCCTCGTCCTAGTGCCTGCGCGTCCGTCCTCCTTCGCCACGGGTGTGCTGTGCCTCACAAAGTCCAGGTCCTCCTTAAAGCTCGGGTCGAAGTCATCCTCCTCGTTGGAGCGGTCGAGTCGGAGCGCCGGCGGAGACGACCTGCGCCCCTTTTGCGCCGCCGGTGCCTCCGGAGGTTCCCTGCAGCTCTTCGCCCACCTCCGAACCGCCTTGCTCGACGGCGGAAAGCGGGCCGGGGTCAAGACAACGGTGCGGTCTCGGCAGAAGGCAATCCTCAGCTCCGGGTTCTGTTCGAAGTCCACGTCAAAGCTAGAGTTGGGCGCAAACCCTTGCAGCTTCACGCCCTGCCAGTGGGAGAGGCCCTGGCGCTTCTTCGCGACGAGGGCTGCATCGCATGTGTCTAGCGTCGCGGCGACTTCTTCGAAGTGGGGTGGCGCCGCAGCCGGTACCAGGGCGACGAGCCCCTCGCTCGTGAGCCGGCACGACTGCTTGCTCGCCAGGCTTGTCGATTTGGTGAGGTCTTTGATGATGCTGTCATCCATGTAGAAGCTATGGATCCCGGATCCGTCGCCCTCCGGAACCACCATGGGAAAGGCCAGGTCTGACGAGTTGGAGTCGCAGCGCATTCCCACCATCTGGTTCGACGTTGCCGTCGTCGCAAAGCCGGGTTCGGCATCTCGCTCGGGGTCTTCCTTGGATGGGCAGGACTCAGACGATTGCCTCGAAGGTTCCTTCGAGGAGCCTCCAGCCGACGCTTTGCCTGGGTCTTGACCTGCTTCGAGGGACCAGGACTGGTCAGCTTGCAAAAGAGAATCGACGTCCAGTTCGGGTAGCGGAGCCTCCACTGTAGTGTCCAACAGTTCCTCGATCACGTCGGGAAGATCGCCGATGTCATCGTCGAACGCCACATCGTCGTCGAATTCCCTCTCCTCCTCGTTTGCATTGCACTTCCCGGATTCTCCTGTCTTGAGCAGAGCTTCCTTTTCTTCCAGATCGTCCTGCAAGCGTTCCAGGGCGGACACCTCACTCTTCAATATGGACTCCTCCCTTGACTTCTCCTCAGTGATCGTGCTGCCAGATTCGTCGGCGTTCGCAGCCTTTGATTCCTCTAAGCAGCTGCCTTTTTCACTGAGCAACTCAGCAAAATCCTTCTGTTCCCTCGCACTGTGTTGTTGTAAACAGACTGAACTACAATCAAGACTATCGCTGTGATGTGCTTCTGCGGAACCACTAGCACTTCCCGCATAAGCATCAGCTTTGTTGCGTCGATTTTCGTCTGTGTCTATGTTTTCGACGTCGACAATATTGGCTTTCCTCTTGCCAGCTAGAAAAGTAGCACTCCCTATATTTCTCTCAAGCATGGCTTTGGGGTTCATGCTGTGGCTAGGCCCCAGCGTACTCTCAGGAAGGTTGTGGGCAGCTCCGAAGTTCTCATTCTGATCTAGATTTTCTATCGTATTTACAATGCTGACCTTTTCAGCGGCAGAATGTTTGTTTGTCTCGACTGCAGATGCCAGGCCCTTCACTCCAGACTGAAGGGCGACTGGAACATTCATTTTCCGTCTGTTATGCTTCCCACAATCCTTGCCCACATCACCAGGACTAGTAGCAAAGTCTTTAGGTTTTGATACTTCAAGACGCCAGTCTTCGATTAAAGTGCTCTTGGTGCAGGGACCACTGCCGTCCACCTCCTTGGGCACTTCAACCTGCTGGGAGCTTGAGATCACTACAGAATCACAAGCATGATGACCTGAGGGACAGTGCTCAGCTCCTGAAGTCGTCGGCTCATCTTGACCCCTGGCAGATGCGGGATCCCCCTTGCAAGCCTCGGGAGTCTCGTTACTCCCAAACACTTCGGCTGACCCTGAATCGGGGGCAGACTTCACAGAAGCACAAGACAACTCCCCCTGGCTGGCAAACAGTTCCTGAGAGCTCTCCGATTCTTCTCCAGCTTCGTCGACGGTGATCCACTGTCCCGCATTCTCAAAGTCGTCAAAGAAGTCATCCATGTCGCTTAGGTCGCTGCCCTCCACATCCTTCTCGTCATCAGCATTCGCGTCCGAAGTTTCGAACGCTGAAGGCCCTAGGGCTGGGGCAGCGGACAGGTTTGATTCACTCAAAGTTGACTTTGTTTTTAACCTTTCGGCTATAGCCGTGGGCTTTGGCAGATCACTACCATTGTTCTGGAAAAAAGTTGAGTCAGTTAGAAGAGAGTCCTGGCCAACAATAGGTGTAGGCAGCCTGGAACCAGGCTTACTGGGCTGGGGCAGACCTTTCTCCAGTTTCTTGCTCGCCTCTGAGCCAACTGTAGAGCCCGTGCTTCCAGCTGGTACAGCCAAGTCTCTAGTCGAAGACTTCTGTAGATTTTGAGCAGGTTGCTTTGGTAAAACCGACGCTTTCTTAGTCATCTCGGTAACGGGAGCCAGAACGGTAGCAAGGACAGGGGTAGGGGAAGCCTTCACTTTTGAAACAATTGCCACAGACTTGCGAGTGCTTAGATTTTGTGCAGGGGCCTGCTTCAAGGTGACAGCAACTGAGTCGATCATCGCTTCGTTCGAGTTGGAAGCTTGTAAGACTATGTTACAGGGCTTTAAAGGGTTTCGAGAGGACTGTTCCGGGGCTAATAACTCCTTTGCAGTGGATGAAATGGTCGCATCACCAAATGGAGGCTTTGCTTGTGGTGTACTTGATGACATAGCACTGGTCAGGGACTTCTTCGGACCTTCAGCGAACCGCTTTGGTGCAACTAGCTTCTCTATGGCAGGACTGGTGACCGGAGTGATTGCCTCAGTAAATGAAATTTTTCTTTGCTTGGCACTTACTAAGGAGGTGCCCGCAGAAGACTTCTGTAAATTTTGAAAGTCCTGTTGAAATGACTTCTCTGGAGCCTTAGCGGAGGAAATAATGGCTGATTTGTCAACTGAGGTGGTAGCTGAAGATGTTTGAGCACCCTGAGAAAGCTGCTCTGCTGCAACTATGTTTTTGGGAGTTATGACTACTGAGTTAACTGCTTTTGCAATGGAAATTTTTGCTTTTGAAGTATTTTGTTTTGACACCCTTCCTTCTGGTAAATTTGTTTTAGAAACTTTTGCTTCTGATGCGTTCATTTTTGTGGCATTTACTTTTGAAGCACTTCCCTTTGAAGCTACTGATTTTGAAGCATCTGCCTCTGAGGAACCTGATTTTGAAGTCTTTCCCTTTGAAGCACTGGCTTTCGAAGCAGTTGATTTTGGAGCAACTGATTTTGAAGCACTGGTTTTCAAAGCATCGACTCTTGGAGCATCGACTCTTGCAGCATCGTCCTTTGCAGCACCATCCTTTGCACCATCGTCCTTTGCACCATCGTCCTTTGCAGCATCGACCTTTGCAACATCGACCTTTGCAGCATGGGCCTTTGCAGCATCCGCCTTTGCAACATCGGCATTTGCAGCATCGGTCTTTGCAGCATTGGCCTTTGCAGCATCGGCCTTTGCACCATTGGCCTTTGGAGCATCGGCCTTTGCAGCATCGGCCTTTGCAGCATCGGCCTTTGCAGCGTTGGCCTTTGAAGCGTTGGCCTTTGCAGCATTGGCCTTTGCAGCATCGCCTTTAGCAGCAGCAGTTTTTGGAGCATCGTCTTTTGGAGCATCGGTTTTTGGAGCATCGACTTTAGGAGCAGCGGTTTTTGGAGCATCAGCTTTTAGAGTTTTGGATTTTGAAGTTGTGGCCTTTAAAGCATTGGGTTTTGCAGCAACAGCTTTATGAGCAAGAGCTTTTTGAGCCACAGCTTTTGGAATGTCAGCTTTTGGGGTAACTGATTTTGGAGCGTTGGCTTTTGGAACATCAGCTCTTGAAGCACCAGCTTTTGGAGCACCAGGTTTTGGAGCACCAGCTTTTGGAGCACCAGCTTTTGGAGCACCAGCTTTTAGAGCACCAGCTTTTGGAGCACCAGCTTTTGGAGATTCGGCTTTAGGAGCGTCGCCCTTTGGAGCATCGGCTTTTGGAGCATCGGCATTTGCAGCGTCGACTTTTGGAGCATCAGCTTCTGGAGCATCAACTTCTGGAACATCGGCTTTTGCAGCATCGGCTTTTGGAGCATCGGCTTTTGGAGCATCGGCTTTTGGAGCATCGGCTTTTGGAGCATCGGCTTTTGGAGCATCGGCTTTGGGAGCATCGGCTTTTGGAGCACTGGTTTTGGGAGCATTGGATTGGGGTACATCAGCTATTACAGCATCGATTTTTGAGGTATCTGTATTTGAGTCATCTACACTTGAAGCAACCACATTTGAAGCATTTGCTTTCGAAGCCTCTGGTTTTAAATCATGCCTCTTCAAAGAATCTGATTTTGAAACATTTTTCTTCGCATCAGTAATTTGTGGAACACTAACTAAAAATTTCTTTTGTTTTTGAGAAGACTCCACTGCTGCAGTGGACTTTATTATGGATGGTGCAACATCTGGAGTTACTTTTGTAAGGGATTCGTTCATATTTGTAGTGGCTAGTGAAGCACTAACAGATGATTCCTGCAGACTTTGAGAAGACATCTGTGGTGCAACCAGTTTCTCAGCAGGAGCATCAACAATCAGGGTGACTGCATTTCCAAGCATAGCAGTAGGGTTCTCTGCACCACTGTTTTTCAAATCCCCTTTGGTTCTTTTCAATTTTGATGAAGACTTTAACTGGTCAGGTTTACCAGCATCTGCAATTACTGTCTCATCTAGGGACATGCTAGCATCTCTGCTCTGCAGGAGGCTGCCCACGTCCTCAGCTGCAATGCCCAGGACTTTCACGGCCTCTGCCTCTGCATTGGGCTCACTTAGCAACTGTGATTTCTTGGCAGGATTTGTGCAAAGCTTCAAAGACAAAGTATTGAACGCTGATGTTTTGACGAGCTCCTTTTGATGATGGGTAGACTCCCCTTCAGGAGCATTACCCTTAAACTTTGTCAGCGCTGAACCACCACTTGACTGAGGTATATGTTTGCTAACGATAAACACTGCAGGTGCAGAACTGTCAGAGGTAGCTTCACTGTTGTCAGAATGTTGAACATTCTCAAAAGGGTCCATCGATAGCTTGTTCTTCCTTCGAGCAGACCCTAGTTTTGTCTGCTTTGGTCCTGATGTGCTTGTTGTAGGCTGGCCAGTGCTTTCACTCACTTTTGAGTTCCTAACTGCAGAGTCAAGAGCAGTTGGAAGTTTGGCAGCAGTAAGATGTGTATGCACCTCTTTGGCCTTGTTATGTTTCTCTAGACCCTTTTCCTTTCTTTCTTTCTCGGAAGACATGACAGGATCAGAAGCACCAGCGATGTCCTCCGTGCTACTGTTCTCCGCATTCTTTTTCTCTGTGCCACCCTCTTCTGCGCCACTCTTCTCAGCAGCAAGAGCCTGCCTGGAAGGACTTCTAGACAATTTCTTGACCTTCTTAGATGTTTCATATGTCAGTTTCTTTGTGCTGGACTTGCTGCCATGCTCTGTATTGTGTTTTGCACCTTGGGAATCCAGGTGGTGGGTTCTCACAAGCCCCTTTTCTTGTTCCGAGGCCACAGCTCCTGCCTCGCAACTCTCTTCAGGAACAGGACTCTCATGTTGGATTTTTGCTGCAAATATTTGCTCTAAAGTGCTTTTTGCCGACGATGGTAGTGCCATAGGACTGCTCTGAATCGTTGTACCTGAAGTTGATGCAGTGACATTATCTGGAGCTTTGGAGTTATTGGTTTTGGCCGTTGCAGTTTTTTTATGCGACTTTTTATCGGGCTTGGACGACGAGATTCGTGGTTTAGCCTTCTCAACCTGCTTGGTCACCTCATCAGTCATAGCCTTTTTATCCATTTTTTCCGTCGTCGCCGTGTCTCTACCCAATTTAGGAACCTCGTGTTTTTCCTTCTTTTTATCCGACTCACTTTCCTTATGTCTTTGCTTGATGCCGTTTCCCAATTTATCCGAAACACTGATCCCAGACTCGCTCACAGTTGAAGACAAACTTTTACTTCGGCGGACATTCGGCTCTTCCCTCTTGTCCTTCTCAACAACTTTAGAAGCGTGCCCCCTACCCTTGTCATCGACTTTGCTTTCTTTGCTGCCACCACCCTTCTCGGCGCTCTGTGTTGGACCCTTAGCTCTTAAATGTGAGTCTGCCACTCCAAGCAGACTGCTATCTCCCTTGCCAACATTTGCAGGTAAGTTGCCAGCCTCCTTGTCCACAGTAGAGTTTGAAGACTCCTCTTTGTCCGTTGTAAAACCAGATACACTTTCACTTTCCGGCACATTTGCGAGTTTTTTCTTCTCCGTTGCTTCCTGGTCACTTCCTGAAATCTGATGAGTCCTAGAGGCACATCCTTTTTGAAGCTCAAGTGCGTCGGCCGTCTGATTTCTATTATGGGCTGTCTTCAAGCTGGAAGATTTCCTCGTATCCTTCTGCTGCCTACCAGCAGGCACCGACTGCTTCTTGTCCGATCTCTTTGCTGAAGTGTCCTGAACGCTCCCCTTATCATCTCTATCAATGCTGTCCATAACATTCAGTCTAGATGAAAGACTTCTATCTTTGCCATGCTTTGAAAAAGCACCTTTCGAAGCAGTTTTCGTCTTCGCCTCTTTATGCTTCGCTTTGGCGGTCGTTCCCTTCTCGCCCGACACCTTCTCCTCTCTCGGCTTCGTCTTTGCTGGACCGTCTCCAACAGAACCGCCCAAAGGGCTGTCGGCACTAATTCCAACTTGAGGACCAACGGTCGGGCCTTTGGCCAAGCTGTCCTTCCCCCCATCTCGGGTCGAGTCGGCCTTCCGCAACTCGGAACATTCGACGGCCTTGGCCAAGTCCTCTCCAGCGCCACCTTCCTGTAGCGACCGGTTTTCGCCGGCCTCGTCGACCTCTTTCCGCCTTTCCACGCTCTTGACCTTCGCATTCTCGGCCACGCCCTTCCTCTTTTTCTCTGGGACAGCCTTCCTGGCTTCCTCGCTGCTCTTCTTCGCAATGCCATCGCCGGCACTTTTTTCCAGGGTGTACGGCGCTCGAGACGAGGCAAGCTGGCTCGCCATTTGCTTCGTCTGGACCCGCTCTTCAGCGCCGCTCGTCGTGTAGAGTGTCTCGACGGAAAGCCGACGGGTGGGAGACGCCACGCTCGACCTCCGCTTTGCTCCCCTGCGACCTTCGCTTTTGTGGGCACCGACTTCGCCTTTCGGAACGTCGTCTTCCGGCCTTCTGCTCTTTCTGATTTCCGACGGCCCTGCCTCGTTGAGACAGTCTTTTTTGCGCTTCCCGTGCTTTTTTTTCCTTATGATGATGAGCGCTTCGTCGTCGTCGCTGCTCGACCTTCGTTGCGGGAAACGGGTTACGTTGCTCGTGGAATCCTGTCTCCACTTGGCGATCTCTTCGTCAGTGAGGCGGGTGAGGCGTACGACGCAGACTTCCGGACGTGCTGTTGCCTCCTTCCACGGACTCGCCTGCTCACGCTTTTTGAGCAATCCGGCCATCGACACGAGCAGGGGCTTCTTTTTCGACTTGGAGCTCGACGTTGTCCTTGGACTCTTCTTTTTACCTAAAACAAAAATTAAAAACAGCCCAAGTCAAACTTGCTAAATATCCTTGCCCTAAGAATGAGAATGGAAGTCTTACAAGTACCGGGTGTCCAAGAAAGAAATTTAGTTTCTTATACCGCAAAAAAAAGCCACGCATTGCCGAATGCTTGGCCTCTGCCGAAAAGAAGTACTTGGCTCCATTCCAACCATTCTTATATATACACCACGAACCTCATCTCCAAAGCCGAAACACCTCCTCTCCACTCTGTCACCAGCATCTCAAGACTGAACCGAGTGACACATGCTGCCTCCCTTCCTTTCACACCAACCAAAAACTGACCCCGTGTGAAAGGAAGGGAGGTAGCACGTCTCATTGGTTCAGGCTGAGATGTTGGTGACCTAGTGGAGAGGAGGTGTTTCGGCCCTGGAGATGAGGGTTGTGGTGTATATAAAAGAATGGTCGTGTTCAAATAAACTAGAAGCTGTGTTTGAGACTTGTCGTTGTTTTGTCAGTTCTTTTTTATTTTGCCGTGTCTCTGGTTTACAATGGAAGTTCTTCACCGGCTCGCCTGTGCTTTTACCCTTTCTTCATTAATCTTTGTTTGAAGTGCAACAATTGATGGTGGCAGCGGGCCGGAGTGTTTCCTTCCAGCAGAGGCGGCGGCAGTGGCGTGGGGAAACGCATTCAACCGGTGGCACACCATGCTCAGCATGCAGCGGCGGCGGTGCAGCGCACAGGTCTGCCACGTGACCAGTGGCGGCTCCCGCGGGCACCAACTAAAAATTCCTTTCGTACCATAAATATAGCTCTAAAATTTTTTACAGCGAAGATGTTATGCGCTAGGATCTGGAAAAAAATGCACCTGTGCATGTTAACAGAAAACTCCCAATGATTGTGGCAAGTATGAATAAATAATAACGAAAAAAGGGGGCAACCACCATGAGTCAGCCTTCCTTGGCATTATTAGATAGCAAGGTCCTGATCCCTTGTTATCATCTCTAGGCATCGTCCTTGAGGTCAACCTAGAAGTCGTCCATGAGGCCGCCCTAGACGTCCTAGAAGTCGTCCTAGACGTCGCCCTCAAGGTGTTCCAAGAAGTCATCCTCGATGACATCCTAGATGTTGTCCTCTACGCGGCGTCCTTGAGGTCGTCTAAGAAGTCGTCTTTGAGGTCGTCCTTTTGGACGACGCCTAGAGAAATTCAGCCCTTCCACTCTGGTGAAAACTAGAGTGGAAAGGCTGGAAAGGTTGTCGCCGTTGCTCATGGACGGCAGTAGCAGTCCAGAGTTTTGTGTTGACATTTGTTTGCCCGCAGACGCGATACTGGAGAAACTAGCCCTTAACAGCTCTGCTGTAAAACTTTTTTTTTTCTTTTGCATGTGTCCTTAAGTTTCAGGCTAGCTTGACGTATTGGCACAAATAGATCATTCCAATTGACACTTTCTTCACAATGCCATCTTCGTCTACAGGGCTGTGGAACGCATTCTGAGCAAGACCAGTAGCTCTCTTCAATAGGAAACCAGATGCAACACATCTGCTTAGAGGCGTCAGTGCCATCTACCGGACTAATAACCGCCATCTACTGGATTAATAACCTCTGGAAAGGCAAGACTGCCATGAGATACACATCCAGCCAAACTCTCTCAAGCTGTAGCATTACTTGCTGGAAGAATATCTGAGAGGTTCCTTAATTGGCTAGGCTAGATAAAAATGCTGAGCCATGACTCGAAAGAAAATTTAATCAAAGTGCATGATGCTGAATGCAATAACAATATAAAAAGATATGCAAAAAACAACTGCATCTCCACGTGGTGAATGATGTTGATTGGGGCGATGCTCTGGTGGTGCTTGTCTGCGTAGACGCTGAGCCGCAGCATGCCGAGCCTTTCGTTCGTTTTCATCCATGTCAGAAAGAGGATGTGTGCTATGGAACGTGGTTATGTACGCATTTGAGCATTTGACCGCAGCGTGACATGGATAAAAACGAACGAAAGGCTCGGCATGCTGCGGCTCAGCGTCTACGCAGACAAGCACCACCAGAGCTTCGCCCCAATCAACATCATTCACCACGCGGAGATGCGGATGTTTCTTTTCCCTACACGAGCACAGGAGCACGTGAGCGTGTGAGCTCACGAGCAGGAGCACGTGCACCCGACGGCGGACGGACATGGCTAGCCCCTAAGGAGCTTCGCCCCTAAAAAAGATTGTAGAGCCCTTCCACTTCATGTGAAGATGGAGGACCAGTGAAGATGTTATTTTCATGATATCTAGGACGATGCCTAGAGGATGTCTAGGACGACTTCGAGTACGACGCCTAGAGGACGACGCCTAAAATGACCTCAAGGATGACTTCTCGGCCGACCTCGAGGACGACATCCAAGACGACCTTAAGGACGACTTCTCGGACAACTTCGAGGATGACGCCTAGGATGACCTCTTGGACGACTTTTGGGACGACTTCTAGGACGACCTCAAGGATGACTTCTAGGACGACCTCGAGGAGGACTCCTAGGACGACGTCTAGGACGACTTCAAGGATGACTTCTAGGATGACCTTGAGGACGACGCCTAAAGGACAATGCCTAAGACGACCTCAAGGACGACTTCTAGGACGACCTCGAGGACGATGCCTAGAGATGATAACAAGGGATTTAGACCTCACTATCTAATAATGCCAGAGAAAGCTGACTCACGCTGGTAACCCCCTTTTTATTTTTATTTATTCATACTTGCCACGACCAATGGGGAGTTTTCTGTCAACATCCGCGGAAGCATTTTTTCCCAGATCCTAGCGCATAACAGCTTCACTGTAAAAATTCACTGTTACAAGCAAATGTCTGAATTCCTCATTTCTAGTTACATACGTGTTCAGCCCATTCGTTTAAAACAAAATATTACAAGATTTAAAAGTGATTTCCCATCGACCTCAACGTCGCTGTAGTCAACCCATACCGCATTAATGTCCGAAACACGTACGCGAGCAAATTAAGAGAGCCCTGCCCCGAGAGAGGCAATCGTGAGTCTCGCCATTTCCATTTACACCTAGCCCAATGCATTCCCCCTCATCATCTACTTTACCCATTCATCATCTAAAGGCGAATTCAGCTGATAGATCTGGTGTGCTAAAAACCCGCTCCTTTTGGGGCGCGCATCTTCACCTCGCAGATTCGGATCAAGTTGGCCATCTTCAGCTCGCAGATTTGTGGCAGCGCGAGCTCTGTGGAGCGCATCAAACAGCGGTGAAACCGCCCTGCCGAATTCAGGCAAGCTTTGCGGAAGTCGGCTGGTGTTCGGCTGCAGCGCGCTACGTCACTTCCTTTCTCGGCGCTGCGCCTGCACGGCAGGCCCTCAAGTAGATTGCGTTCTTGTGCGAAATGGTGTCAGTGGCAGGACCAAACTTGCGTGCGTCGGTGCTCCTGCTATGTGAAAGTGACGCTTCAGAGAGTTCAAGCAGTTCAAGTTGGAGCTAAAGCACCTGTGCACGGCCAGATTCGACAGTTCTGCAGGATCAGCCATGCTCATGTCATTTGCAGAAGGGAGATACGCGGGAATCGTGCACGGGAGTTGGGAAGGGAAACTGGTAGGAGGCTCACGGGAAGAGCGTCCTTCCGTTTCCGTTCCCATCGGTTGGGCGTTCGGCCGCTCCAAATCTGCAATGGCACCTACGACTGGCAGATCCAGAGCGAGCCAAAAAGCTCAGGTTTTCTCAAGGACGTTTAAACAGACAGGACCCGGCATGACGTCAGCCTGAGTGAAGCCGGAAGAGGCGTTTAATCCCAGACTGCCTTGCGCACCCGTTCCGAGGCCGTGGGGTAGCGTACCGGCAGTTCGTCTGCTTTCTAATCTGCTCCGGCGTGTGCTTCACGACGCTAGCTTTTGATGCGATCGGCGTCCGCGGTGGGCGTCCACGATGCAAATGCTTTGCAGCGTGAGTGTTTATACTTAGTTCCACATTATGTGCGAGTGAAGTCAGAACTGGAAGCGCGAGCCCGTTGTTCTGTGCGCTCCTGGCTTGCATGCGTGCTCGTGCGATCTGCTGCTGCTGTTTATTAAAAAATGCGTTGCGCACCGCCAAGTCCTTCACGGTGCGTCGTCTAGAGCGTCTCAGTTCTAGTCACTTACTTTCTGCTGGGCAACCAGGCGTTCGTTTATAATAATCTCATCCAATTCCGACCATACCGGTTTAAAAGTCTCCCGTTTAGCGCTGTTTCAAATAACAGTGGGTGCCGCCATTACTTTCGGTGCACACAGTCGCGTTGCCACGGAAATGTCATCGCAACGCGGTTGTTTGCACCGAAATTAATGGCGGCGCCCACTCACTAGGCTTCCCATTGGTCAAGAAATGCTCGTTGCGGCTCGTGGCCACGCCTACTTCCGTTACACTTCGCTCCATGCATTGGGGATAGGGACGCCACCTCCTGCCCATTATAACCTCCTTGGGTTTTATACTCCCTCGCGGGTTTTAGAAATCGATCCGAATCTACTAGCTGAATTCACAATAAACCTAAAGAAGCAGACAGACGACAGAGGGGCCACACTATGACAAAAGCATTTCCAAAAAACAATGCATGCAGTACTAGACCTTTTCGCAAAATTCCAGAAATTCTTGCAATATAAAAGGAATTGTGGGGCTGTTCAGATGTACACTTGCGCCAGCTTGAATGCTTTGTATATCCTGGTAGCGGCATTCTTTTACAAGCTTAGAACACACAAAATATTAAAGCGAATGGAAATGAAGGTGATCACATACCGTATTTGCACAAATATAACGCGAGTTTTTTTCCGAAATTATGTCCTCCAAAACGCACCTCGCGTTATATTCGGAATCGAGTTCAGCCACGAGGCGCGCGAGCCTGGTGAAAGTCAGAGGAGAAAGCCATCCCTCCGGCCCAATGCAAAAGATCCGGTGGGAAAAGAGGTGGGGGTGTGGAGGGGAATTTATTAGCTATTGAACCACGTGAAGGGGCGAATAGAAAACATAAAAAAGCATTTTTATCGCTTTTGTGTTTGTACAACGCACGCACGCCGCAGAAACTCAGCGCGCGCGTGCCATGCGGGATTGCGGGCACTGGCCAATTCGAGCCAAGCCAAGCTGGGCCAAGTCAAGTCAATATAAGCTAAGCCAAGACCACCAACCGCGTTTACGCAATCGTGCAACACGAGGCATTTGTTTATGCAGAGGGACCAGAACAAGAAGTGTTATCGTGTATCGGGTTTAGCAGTCTTTTTTCTGCCTGTGCATTGTTTAGTTTCTGCTCCAGAGTGATCAGGTGTTTCTGTGTTGGTGCTTCTGCTTCCTGCCTTGTTTGGATTGTGGGCTGCCGAGGGGCTTGCACGGGAGAAAAAGTAACTACCAGACAAGCAGGTTCGGTGCTGCTGCTTATCTGCGTAGTCTGCCAAGCGGATTGTAAACGAAAGGATCTGAGCAGTGAGGATGAGAGCAGTCAAAACATAAACTGATATTTATTCTATTTTCATTGACTTTTCAGTTCTGCTATGCCCCCAAGTCTGAGAAATTGACGCGGCCTCGGTTCGCGTTATAATAGTATTAATTTTTTTTTTCTTTTTGGGAGCATCGAAACCTGCCCTTGCGTTATATTCGTGGTAGCGTTATATTCGTGCAAATACGGTACTCTGTTTGGCTTTCTTTCTGCCTTCTCAAACCATAAACTGTTGAACCAATGTCAACTTCGTCATAAATTCTCGGATAATTTCTTGTGCCATACATCTGAACATCACAATGCGTAAAGCAAGCGCCGGGGGCATTTTCGGAAAGGTCTATTCCAACGGTCAAACATCCGTCTTCTCAACGCACCTTGCGAAAACCTCCTCCCGGCAGGTGCACAGGGAAACGTGTCCATGGAAGAAGCGTCCGAAAAGGAGACGTAGCCCACAGCTTCAGAAGTGCCGCTCTCGGTCGAAACCGACCTCCGAAGTTCAGAACGGTTGTCAGCTTCACTTCCAACCACGGCTGCCACCTCAGGAGAAGGCGGGTCCATCCACTCATCCGTCAACAGCGTCCGCGTGGCCTTGACTGTCGGCTTGCCCTCGCTAGAAGGTTGCGGAGCCACGCGCTCTTTGCGATCCCGCGCAGGTTTCGCGACAATCGCAACCTCCGAAGCACTTGCGGACGCAAACATTCTTTCCGTCGGAGGGAGTGCCGCATCGTGCTCGCTTGCCGGAGTCGCTGAAATTGCAGCGACGGCAGTGACTGAAGCGGTCGCGGTCGTCGCGTCGGCATGGGGCTGCACAGCTTCGAAGCCGGCCCGATCGCGCAGCGTACCAGGACTTTGGGGAGGCACTGTCGTCGCCCGAGCACGAGGAGGCTCCGCGTCGCCCTTTCCTCGCCCGACGACCGGCGTCGCAGCGTCCGCAATCGCCGGAGACGTGGGGGGCTCCTCGACCCCGGACAGTACAGCCGCGCAAACCCAGCCCTCAGTAACTCGATTCGTGCCATTTGTCTCAACCGCACCGGCAACTTCCGGAAGCTCCAAACTGCCGGGAGACGACGACGTCGCGTCAATGAAGGGTCGGGCGACGTTCCGCCCCTTGGCAACGCCGAAGAGGGTGCCCTCGGATGCGAAGGCATCGTCGCGGAAGGGTGGCGGTGCTTTGCTGTCGCCCCGCTGCCTTGTCGGACTCACGACGTTCCCAACCATCGATGCGCTCAGAGCAGACGGACCCTCGGGGGGACGGGCGACCTTGCGCCTTCTCCACTCGTTCACCGGAATCGCGTCCCCGGGTGCTTCACGAACATCAGACGACATTTCGGGCGGCAACGATGGTCGCTGCGCTCTCCGGAGAGACAGGGACAGCTTGGTCTCCCTCCTCCTGCGTGGCGCTTTCTTGGGCAGCGCCCTGCGGAGCAGCTGACGCACAAGTACGGGCGGCCGAAGCCCCGTCTGCGTTCCCGCGTCCGCCGTCTGCACCCTGGGAGCCTGTGCCACAGCACCACTGCCGCCGCCGGGGTCGTCTGTTGCATCCATGGCCTTCGGAGTGGACTTTGTGGGAGAGGAATGCCTCGAGCGCTTCGCCGCATTGCAGCTTGAACCTGCAAGTGAGAGACCCAATGTGCGGGCTGGAGTCGCCGACGAAATGATCGAGGAAGGACTATGAGCGAAAAGTTCAAGGAGCCTAAACGTAATGTCACGTAAAAAGTAACAGAGATAGTTGGAAGTATGTCAATATCACATATAGTTGAATAAAAACAGCTTAGGAAAAGTATTCCCATGACATTACTATTTGGTACAATGCTGCAATTATGCGCTTAAAAATCATAAAATAAAAAGAATATAAAAAATTTAGTTTTTAATATTATTTTTTTTTAGAAGTTACATAATAATTGTTAACGCAGCGCAGGCTCTCTTACACAGGGATGGATGGACACAAGGAACAGAACAAGTGGTATGTACCGTATTTTCGGGTCTATAGCCCGCAGACTATAGACCTCTGCAAAAAGAGCTCTCTGGCCGTCACCGTTTTGCGACTCAAGTGACCTCTATCAGCCAGAAATTTCTGCCACCCACTTGAGCTGTGGAAGCTTGGTCAGTGCAACTCTCCACCTGCATTGTGTATTCGGAGTTCGCAGAGTTTTCTCAAGTTTTCTCTTTTTTTGCCTGTTCAGAATGCGTATCCTTTTTTGTTATTTTCCACTGTGAGAAGCAGGGAATACCAAAGCTCATAGCGTGCTCAGCCTTCACTGGAGACAAACGAGAAGAGCGAATGTTAAGCAGCCCGCAAGACGGACAATTCAACGTTTTTTGGAGATTATTTCCATTGAGATACAGTCTAACCCGGATATATCGAATTCAAAGGTGATCGTAAAATAGTTCGATATGTCGATAATTTGATATACAAAAATATGTTAACTCAAGCTCCAGTTGAAATTTCCGCGCTTCTCTGCTAATACCGAAGGCCGCGACAAACGGGACCTTACCAAATAGAGCCACTAAGAGCGGCTAAATGGCTAAATACCTTAGAGCTTAGCTGGTAAAGATCACAAACACCGCCGCGTTTACGCCACAATGTTTGCGATCGTGTACGCGCGCGCGACCTCCCGCACATCACCAGCGACAAAACACGAATTAAAAAAAAATATGAAAGAACCGAAGAATCAAGTCCTATAAATACAAACAAAAACACTCGATCCATAGAATAAAGTTAAAACAAAAAAGAAACCTCACTAAATTCAAGCAAAAAAAGAAAGGCAAAAAAAAAAATGCGCAAAGCAAAAGCGGCGAAAGAAAAAGGTAAACGAAGATAAGGCGTTCAAAGTGGGATTGCTCAACCGTTGTCGACACACTCACTTGACGAAGACTTTTTTTTTTTTGCGTATTTTATGTTGGGGCTAAAGAGCACTCCCTGCCCTCCCCACGCGAGCGCGTGCCCTTCCCTTTGCTTTTGCCATTTTCCACTTCCCCCCCCCCGTTGCTCTTTTCTTTTTTTTTTTTTTTCAACTGCTTTTTTGTTAAATATCCCCGTGAACCCCGGGCGCGTATGCTGGCTTGGCAGTCTGCCACCCCGGCAGCGGAAGCTTGTGCTCTGCGGGGCGCAATCTGACCTGGGGAGAAGCGAAGGGCCGCTGTGCTTAGTTCGCTATATCGAGTGTCCGCGCCATGGGAGCCCATGGGAGTTCGATACAAAAAGACAACACTCCTATACTATTACATGTGATTATCAAGGGGATGTTTGGACTGTTCGATATAAGCAATAATTCGAAATACCCGGGTGTGATAAAACCGGGCTCGACTGTAATCTCCAAAAAGCCTTCCCGGCTATGTTCCCGGTCTTCGCGAGAAATAGCTGATAGGGTCGGGTCCGAAGTACGGGGACAGAATAGAAACGTTTGTTCATTTGCTTTGGTGCTGTGGAAAAAAAAGCAGCCCTTTTCAAAGCGTGCCCAAAAACCAGCTGGATTCCGTCCGATCATCGTAAAGTGACTGTAGCCGACGCTGTATATTGGATATGGTGTGTTATTTGAAATCTTTCTCAACTCCTGTTTGGACCACGCGGCCCTGAGGGGTACGTACAATATATGTTGTTCGATTCATGAGACTCGTTGAATTTCACGTTGTGGGCGGGGAATACCCATGCATTTTGGCTATCCCGTGCTGTCAAATATTTTCGATAGTTAAGACCTTTGTAGATGGACACGGGAGAGTGTATGCTGTCGTAAAAAATGTACATAAAATGAAACAAACATTCCAGCTGCATTTGTTTTATCACGCACAGACTCGCAAAAAATAACATTCATTTGTTTGTTTTTGTTCTTAAAAACAGTACAATGCTTTTTTAAAAACCTAGAGAAATCCTATTTGCCATGGAATACAAAAGAAACAATAGAATGTATTAATTTAGCTGCCACCAGTGCCCGGAATTGCACCTACGCAGGCTGCCACCGGCCACCGACGAGAAAACCCACAGCCCAGTGCAGTCGGACAACAGTGACGTTAACTCTCAAAACCAGGGACGCGCGCTGTAAATCGCTCCGTTCGAGACTGCCGTTGGAAAGGTCTATACATGTTTCAAAGTTGAAATTTTACCTGATATAGAAAAGACTACACAAGATTTCTTTTTTCTAAATTGTTCACTGTGGCAAGATGTGAAGGATTTCATGAATAACTAAGTTTACTAATGTCGATTTAGATATGATACAAGCTTCTTTGTGAGCTAATATAGCAGGCATTTGTGAAATAGTGCTGTGTATGATCGTTTTTACGTTCGGACTAGGCACTAAGCGTGGACTACCGTAATATCACAAGTCATCGCCCACTCCCCTACCGCATGAAATTCATAAAAAAAGTGGGGAGGCCCATGTCTCGGTAGGTAAACACAAAAAGTAAAAAAAGCCCATTTTTCTATACTTTAACGCAGATTGCGGAGTCCACGTTGGGGTACTTGTAGGGGCGGGCGATCACTCTGTTTTCTTGTTTTTTTTTAAAATCTGTATTCACCCAAAAAGTAGGGTGGGCAATGACTCTGGACATTACGGTAATTAAATAAAAACAGTTTAGGAGAAGTCTTCCCCTGATATCACTATTTGGTATAATGCTGCCATTACATGCTTTAAAGTCTTATAATAGCAACAAATAATATTTTAAAAAATAATAAAAAAAAAATTATTTTTCTTTTGTTTACAAGTTACAGTTGATTGTTGTTGATTGCATGCTTGAGTGTTAATATCTTGGCAACCATTCCATACAAATATACTACTCTATATTTAGCACATCATTTTACACCTCCATGTGAAAACAGTATTAAAATTTCACGCATCTGATTCAAATATTTTGTAAGTAGGGTTTCGTGTTTTCGGTAAATACTGATAAACCTAAAAAAAATCACTCCAGGAATGATTTTAGCAAAATCGGGGAAAACCGAAAACCCTTGAATTAGAGCTGCCCTCATATAAGAGAAAACACAAGCTTCACGAGAAGAAACTCTTTTCTACAATATTACGGTAGATATCCATTGTAAGAGACTTTGATAGTGATGAAGTTTTTGGTCTTGGTTGTAAAACGAGTAATCTTTATTCTTTATTCATCATGGTCCTACGGCGCCACCAGGCATTATCGCAGGGGGCGAATGAATGAGCTTGAAAAAGACATTTCTGAATTTGCGGCGCACACAATCTCGCTGGGCAAAGCAGCGAGATATTATGGAGATATTACTTGAGGTAATAAGTAAGATGAGCTATTAATGCTAATTATATTGTGATATATATTGTATAAAAACTTCCAAGCGTAAATTTCTTTGACCTAACGCCAATGTAGACCATCCCAATTCTTTAATCCTGTCGGTTACTCTCGCCAAACGGTCATACGGCAGCAGAACGAAATGAGCAGCACAACTCTGAATTATCTCTAGCGCAATAATGTGATTTCACTGACAAGGATCCCAGATGGTGCAGGTGTACCCTAATATTGGTTGTACATATGAGAGGGTGATTGACAGATATTGATAAAAGCAAATACATAGAATTACCTAATTATATTTCAAATTGTGCGGATCATTCCAGAAAGATAAGGGAAATTTACCGTAGAACAGATTATAAGTTTTCATTTCTTTCCACAAACAATCGCTCAGTGGAACATGTTACCTGAGCCTGTTTTTATTAATGACGACATGGGACCATTTACCTCAGGAAATGGTCTTGATTTTAATAGGGTTGTGCGAATAGTGGATTTTGAGTTCGAATCGAATTCGAAGTGAATAGTGATTTTGGTCGCATATTTTCGAATTGAATATTGAATACTTGCCATTAAAAAAACTTGGCCGTTTTTAGAGGGAAGTTTACAGAAATACTTCCAAACTGGACTTCTCACGCTGTCGTTGGTCCATCTTGCCAACCGACTTAGCTGCCGTCATTTTGACAATGTTGATGTCATCCACTCACTTTGTCGCTGTAATAATATAATATTCCTTCAAAATATTATAGTTTAAATGTTTTGAAACCGTGTTTATGCGTTTTATCGGAAATTAAAGTTTCTGAGCATTTATGCATGTTATAAGAAATTTCTAAACATATTTATTTTTATCCTAAACCTGTTTTTCTAAATTTATGTCTGGACGTGGCGGTGGTGAGAAAAGACTGCTGGCAACCAGGGCGCCAAGATTGGCGAAAATGGCGCCGGCGTCTCTGGAGTTCGTTTCTCGGTTTCTTTAGACCGTTATTAAAAAAAGTTGGTGAAATAATTACGATGAATATTTTTCAAAGTTCCCACCATAATATTTATACCATTTTGCCGAACGTATGAGTATATTCTTGATTTTAGATATCGTTTCTTTCTGGTCTTTAGACAGTAAACAAACTTGCGACCGTGAGTTTGCGAACACTTCAAAAAGCATGAATATTACAACTGTTCTCGAAGCGAATATCGAATAGAGTACTATTCGAAAATACTATTCGGAAATTCGAATATTCGCACAACACTAGATTTTAATCTTGTTATTTATTATTAAAGTTTATGTATTCTATTTCTTGACAGCCGAGGCTGTATATTAAAATGTTCTTTTTTTTTAGTTCATTATTGAACCTATTTATCCATGGGCCTC